GAGCCGAGAAACGTCTGGAGCTGCGGTCCACATTCAGTGTCGTTGGTGAGTCGCTTCAGTTTGCACAGGCTGGGAATTCTCTCCACTCCGTTTGGGCTGCTTCCCCTGCGGGAAGTGAGCCACTTGAGGGTAAGTTGCTCCGGTGTGCACACCGGGAACATATCCCCCCTCAATTTGGGCTTTTCCTTTACTGGACAAGCCAATTTGTTTGACTGGGGTGCCCTGTCGGAGAGGGGAATTGTTATTGGACTCTACCCGATTTGGGAACCGGTTCATTTGCGAGAGCTGGGCTTGGTGGAGGCCTCCGTTGGGGAGTGGAGGTGGAATTCTAGACTACACCTCTTCTGATTTTCTGTCTGTGTGACCGTAGCTTAGTTGTTTGTGTTTTTGTGTGTATGGGGTGAGCCACTTGTGGTCCATTCTTTTTTGGTAGCCAGGCCGCTCTGGAGCCTCCGTCTGGGAATGGAGATGGAATTTCTAGACTACACTTCGTCTGATTCTTTGTTTGTGGGACCATGTGTTTGTTGTTTGTATGTGTGTTAGCACTTGCATTGACCAGCTGAAACATCTTTGGTGAATAACGGGCTCGTGTGTGATGACACCATGGTATCCTTCCCTATTGTGTTGGTTTCGCCTGTGGCAGCATGTTGGTTAGAATTTTCTTCCTTTTTGGAGCTGGGAACTCTAACCCTGAGAGACGGATTTGAATTGCTGTTTGCTTGATATCTGATAACACCGGCCGTGAATAATTAAGTATGGGTGATCAGAGCTCTGTTCCATCTTATAGTCCCCTGGGGTACTTTTGCAAAACTAAGAGATTTTTTTTTTTTTTGCGGTACGCGGGCCTCTCACTGCTGTGGCCTCTCCCATCGCGGAGCACAGGCTCTGGACGCGCAGGCTCAGTGGCCATGGTTCACGGGCCCAGCCGCTCTGCGGCACGTGGGATCCTCCCGGATCGGGGCACAAACCCGTGTCCCCTGCATAGGCAGGTGGATTCTACTAGGCCTCCTGAGTTTCAAAGAGCAGACTCAAGCAGTTACCAATTAGGGGAGTGAGGGAATGCAGAAACAAAGGAAAAGCAGTTAAGAAACAATAGTTCAGCAAGAAAACAGAGCGCTAGTTCCTCTTCGAGGGGTATACATAACAATCTGGCATATATCTTTGAATTGTTCTGCAGAAACTAAGAACCCCACCCACCCAGGTGGGGAATGGTGACTACATGCTGACCACAAACAGTAGACCCCAGACTGGTTGGAGCCAGGTTGATTAAGATGCTGGAAACATCACCAACCAACCAATCAGAGAAAAGTCCAGGAGCTGCAGCCCTCACCCCAAATGTTGCCTTTAAAAACCCTTCCCTGAAAGCCATCAGGGAGTTCATGTCTTTCGAGCAAGAGCTGCCAGTTCTCCTTGCTTAGCACACTGCAATAAGTGCTGTACTTTCCTTCACCACAACCGGGTGTCAGGAGATTGGCTTTGCTGTGTGGAGCGTGAGTGAACCCAAGTTCCGTTAGGTAATACTAGTGACAAATTTTATTCACCTTTCATTTTTTTCCTAATTAAAATTTTAAAAAATAATATTTAAAATAATATAGCCAAAATATTATCTTTTTGACATTTAATCAATATTTTAAAATAAATTTAGATATTAAAATTTTTTTTCATATTAAGTCTTCAAAATTGATTGTGTATTTTATGCTTACCACGTTTCAACGCAGTCCAGACACATTTCATGGGCTCAGTAGCCACATGTGGCTAGTGGCTACCACATTAGACAATACAACTGTTGAGTTTACGCCGAAGAGTAGAATTGCTGGGTTATAAGATCTGCACATTTTATTTCTCTTTTTTTAAGATACAAATGTTTAATGATATGAGTAGATAACTCAAGGGCAAGCAAATTTGATCAGCCCTTTAGAAATTAAAGAGTAGTATTGTAAGCATACGGGAGGAAAATTTTTCCTTCTCCCCTTCTAGGTTCTTTGGCTGGCATAATAATTTAATTGACACAAGACATTAACAGGAGAAAAACAAACAAAAGTTTATAACACATATACATGGCAAAGGCCCAGTAAAATTGAGTAATTTCCCCAACTGGTGCAAGTCCTCACCTTAAATACCATCTTCAGCTAAAGACAAAAGAAGATGGGTGGAGTAGGGGGACAGTCACTTTGAGCAGTTATCAAAAAACAAAAACAAAAACAACACAAGAACACACAGTAAACAAAAGGAACATTGTGCTGCATTGGTAAGAGTTTTAGAGGTTTGGTCTTCCCCCCCTCTTCCTAGTAGAGGGAGGAAGATACCCTCACAAAGGGTGATTTCCCTTATATATAAAAATATCTTTACAAAAGGGTAACTTTTACAGTACTTAGTTTCCAGAGCTTCTCTTGTGTCTCAGTTTCTTAAAAATAACCAGTTTAAAATGATCCTGTGCTCAAGAGGCATATTTTGGGGCGGCATATTCTGCTCCCCTAAATAGGAATACTAAGTATTGACAATTAAAAACAAACTTAAAATATTCTTGATGTAAGCACAGTAAGAAAAAAACTGGTCAAGTGACGATGGAGGAAACATGTTTAGTCTAGTGGAAAGAAGTGACAGGCTTAGTTTCAAACAGTGAATTAATAAAATTTATGAATTTAATTTCATAATGCAGTATTAAGGTTTTAGCATAATTGACTTCACAATGGCTTTACTTAAGGAATTAAAAAATATAATTCTGTCCTTTAGTAAAAAAGGTCATCTGGATTAGCAATAGATTGAAAAAAAAATTGTAATTACTTTTTTTCTAGTTCTGACCAAAATGTAAATTCTGTGTATATTTGCAGAAGATATTTTGGGTTCATACTTTTGTTTCCATGATAAAAATATAAACCACGCTTAAAAGAGGTTCATGGGGGGCTTCCCTGGTGGCGCAGTGGTTGAGAGTCCGCCTGCCGATGCAGGGGACACGGGTTCGTGCCCCGGTCCGGGAAGATCCCACATGCCGCAGAGCGGCTGGGCCCATGAGCCATGGCCGCTGAGCCTGCGCGTCCGGAGCCTGTGCTCCGCAACAGGAGAGGCCACAACAGTGAGAGGCCCGCATACCACCAAAAAAAAAAAAAAAAAAAACTAAAACAAAAGAGGTTCATGGGGCTTCCCTGGTGGTGCAGTGGTTGAGAGTCCGCCTGCCAATGCAGGGGACACAGGTTCGTGCCCCTGTCCGGGAAAATCCCACATGCCGCGGAGCGGCTGGGCCCGTGAGCCATGGCGCTGAGCCTGCGCATCCGGAGCCTGTGCTCTGCAACGGGAGAGGCCACAACAGTGAGAGGCCCGCGTACCACAAAAAAAAAAAAGAAAGATGAAAGCAAGATGTTCCAAGATTATCACTGGAGGAGGAATCTCCTCAGGGAACAGGCAAGATTTACCTTCCCCCAGGAATATTTCACTAGTGACTCTGCCATTGTCAGTACAGCTGGCCTGCAGGGTCCTGGTTCGCCCAGCAACACTCTGGCACAGAGGTGGGAGCTGAGTCCAGAGCACTCCTCCCAGAATATTCCAGTCTAGAAGAGAAAAGGCCAGGTGTTCATAAAAGAGACAGGTGGGTTAACTTGAAACCTGTGTGCTGTTAAGTGTGGCTAATTTATGCTCCACTTACTGGGCACTGTCATCCTCTGCTTTGTGTGGACATGTCTATACAGCTAACCCTGTCCCTAGGGCATCTAATCTCATCAAGACCACAGCCCAAGAAGATGAGCCTCAGATACTCAGTGCTTCCCAGCCCTGCTCTCTGTGTTCATGCGTCTCCCCTGAGCAATGACCTCCTTTCCTTAGAATGGTGGACACCAGGCAAGCCTCCTGTTACAGGGAAGCCCATCCACTAACAAGGTCTCAGCTTTACCCTACAGTTCCAGCAGGGCCCTGTGGGCAGGGAAGTGACTGTGTATTCAGTTAGTTCCTTCATTTTTTTCAGTACGTATGTGTTGAATAAATAAGTGATACGAAGATAAGTAAGAACCTGTTCTGCACTCCAGGAGTTAAAAATTCAACGGAAGAAAACACGTACACAATATTCCTCTTGCTGCAAGGGAGATTGTGCGGACTTTTATAATTGACACAATGCTACGGGCAGTGAGGGCAGGAGAGAGGTGCTTTCTACCTTGCATAGTATTGAGGATTGTTCCACAATTTAATTTCAGTTTTCATGTGAAAATACACACGCATGTAATGAGTTTTTTAAAATGCTAAATTTAGTATGCAAAGTTCATCAGCGGAAAAAAAAAAACTACACGGTCACCTCTAAACTTTAAAATGATGTAAAGAGGCTTGGCATTAATTTTTTTTCTTTTTCGTTATAAAACCTATTTTTATTTTTAAAATCAGAGAAGACAGCGCTTCCCGCGTTTCCTGCCTCCGAGGAAGGAGGTATAAAAGACTCCACTCACGTGCCCAGTCCTTACGCGGTTCTCCCAACTAAGAACCCGTGCCAACCTGAGGAAGCAGAGAGAGGAAGCACGCGGAGTCCAGCCCTCCGCCCAGACCACGGAAACGCCCTGAGGGTGTGCTGACCTCTGCCGGGTGGCCAGCGGCGCCTGCAAGAGCAGAGATGGGCGAGGCGGGCGAGGCGGGCGAGGCCATGGGCGGGGCCTAGAGGGGCGGGCCGAGGGGCGTGGCGCGCGGGCGCGCGGGTGGGTGGCCCGAAGCCGCGAGGCGAGGTCTTCCAGCGCCACTGGCGCAGCCCAGCGCAGCGTTAAGCCAGGCGAGGAGAGTACCCGCGCGGCCCAGCACCTTCCAGCGTCCTCGGGACCAGGCGCTCGCTGCTGGTAAGTAACTCCCTACCAGGTCCCTGCTCGGCTGCCTGGCTGCAGGGGAGGAAAGGGGAAGGATGGGCTGAAGGGAGGGAGCAGGCTCTTAGCCAGGACCCCGCTGCCTCGAGCCAGGTCAGCTCCGCCGGGGAAGAGGAAGCGTAGCCGGGGCAGGAGAAAGAGGACGCGCGGTGGGAATCGGTTTCGAGCTTGTGCGCCCGGGTCCGGGGATGGTGCAGGGCGCCCTGCCTCGACCCTACTCTTCCGTCCGGTCAGGGGAGCCTGGGGCTAGGACTCTGGTGCCCAGTGTCACCTGGAAGCCACTTTTTCTGGTCTCTTTCCCCCTGGTCCACGTAGCGAGTTGGAGCTTAGGAATCGGAGTTGGCGGCTGCGGGCTTGGATAGTCTGGGAGCGAACATTACTAATCGTTGTTGTCCCTTCGGGCCAGAGGCTTTAACTTCATTTAATCCTAACTGTAGCTCTGCGGAGAGGCATTTATTACCCCCATTCTACTGATAAAGAAGCCTAAGCCAGGATAATAAGTGACTTACCCTGGGGCCAAGTACTGGAAAAGAGACGCTACTCAAGGGCTCTGAAGCCCTCACGCGTCTCCCCATCTTCCTGTTCCCTCTCTATCCTTCACGCCAAGTCTAGGAAACGCGCGCTGCTGAGTCTGTGATGAAACAGGTGATTCTTCTTAAACTCATTCTACTCCCTTCCTAGGTTTCTTTTTGGTTTTGTGTTGTTAGCACCCAATTTCTGATTTAAATATTTCCAATTTTTGTTTATTAGCTTTTAAGGTGGAAGAAGCTCTCGCTCACTGCTCTTTTCCCCCCTTGCAGCCCTTTCTCTGGACGCTGAGCAAAACAGGCACCTCTGCCTGCTGCACACTTCTCATCTTTCCCGTTGGATGAGGTCACCTGTACGTCCAGCCTCGGCCTTAGGGCTGCCCGGGTGGAGGTGAGTCTTGTATCACCTGGCACCCTGCACACCCTTGGCTTTGTTATTTCTTTTTAGAGAGAAGGGAGTCTTCATTTTAGAATTAGTAGGACAAGAGGCAAATTGGGAAGATATACAGTGTTCAGAGAAAGCACGGTCTGCATTTGGTGAGGGGTAGGTGAGGCGTGGGGTCAGGGACTTGCGTGCCCCTCTCTTTAAGAGCTGTTCTGAAAGGCAGATTTGTTTTATAAAGGGGAGGAGGAGGGCTGAATGGTTGTTAAAGATCAGTGTAAATTACCTGCTAGGAACCCAGGCAGTTCCAAACAAGCCCCCCCACCCCCACCCGCCATAGGATTTGGTAACAGATTTCAGTTAGGGCAAGAAGGAAATGCAGGCTCTGTGGCTCTCTGCTGTTGCTTAATGGATTTTTTGCAGGCCTTCAGGATGGTCGTTCTGGGAAGATTTTGAGTTCTCAGAAATGGCTAACTCCTCTATGTTTAAAAACAATATAATATACGGCGAATTTACGTTTACTCAGTTTTATTGATAGATGAAAGAAGTTTTGTTTGTTTGTTTGTTTTCCCCGTTTCATGGTGAGGGTTTAAAGGTTCCTGTCAGCTCCTCTGCCTTTGCTTCAGCCTGGCCTTGGAAAGAGCCTTCTCAGCCTTGGCGCTGAGTATGTACTGGATTCCATTCTTCATTAATTATAGTTCATTCTTGATTAATTATAGGACTGCTTCAAGTCACTAGTTACTTCTTTTCCATTTGCAATTTAGTCACTTAACACTAAGAAAAATGTTCTTCTTGAGAACTATCAACTATCTACAAAATGAAATCAACAAATTTACAGGCACCAAACAAGTAATGTGTGGGGAGAGCTAAATGGGCCTTGATTGGTCCCAGATGACCTGCAGAGGACCTGCCAACACCTGGGTGGGTATTGGCCATTTCCTCCCTATAACTGTGCAGGAATTCTGGTCCAGTGTGACCAGAGCTCCCCCACCCAATAACTGAAAAATCTTTATTAAAAAATATGTAAAAAGGGATTTTAAATATTGGCTCTTCTTTTTTCTTTTTTAAAACACAAGAAATCAAATCAAATTTGGTTCATGCTGCATCATCTGTTTTCAGATCTCTTAGAAACTGCTATACCTGGTGATCACATTCTCCAGTGAATGAAAAATTCTGACCTATGATGTATATATGTTGTACATTTTTCATGAAATGAGGCGGTAGGAAACAAATTAATACTATTGAAAATCATCTCTTCTGAATCTCAGTTTCTCTTTTCTATGAAGTGTACATTAGTGTAGCTGCATTGAGGAAAGTAGTCTTTTTTGGGCCAACCAAGGAATTTTGTTACTGTTTATTCATGGTTCTAGCTCAGGATGTCAGATGCCTTACTCCCTGCCTTAAAAAGGGAGTTCCCAAATGACTAATTTTATAAATCTGGTCTTTCTCCTGGGGCCTGTCTGTACTTTTAACCACAATGGCTTTGACACAGGAGGCATGGTTTCAGGTTGTCATATGTCCTTTTGCCTATCTGTAGCAAACGCATGTATTCTCATGCATTCTCATACTCTCAAAGAGTTTCTCAACTTTGGTACCTTTGACATTTTTGGCCAGATCATTTCCTGTTGGGATTGTCTTCTGCATTGTAAGGTGTGTAGCAGTGTCCTTGGCTTGACTCACTGGATGCCACCAGTCCCCTCCATCTAGGTTTTTTTAAAAAAATTAATTAATTAATTAATTTGGCTGCGACAGGTCTTAGTTGCGGCACGCGAGCTCTTTGTTGTGGTGCGTGGGCTTCTCTCTAGTTTTGGCGCTCTGGCTCTAGAGCACAGGGGCTTAGTAGTTGCGGCGTGTGGGCTTAGTTGCCCCCGTGGCACATGGGATCTTAGTTCCCCAACCAGGGATCAAACCCGGGTCCTCTGCATTGGAAGGCGGAGTCTTAACCACTGGATCGCCAGGGAAGTGCCCCCTCCGTCTAGTTGTAACAACCAAAAATGTCTCCAGACATTGCCAGATGTCCCCTGGGGAACAGAGTCACCAAGTTGAGAAAAACATGCACCAAGAGTTAAAATGCTCTAGATGTTTATTAACTAAACTGTATACTAAACACAGTTAACTTTAAACTTCTAATGACTAGAGAAGCTATTGGTAAAGTTTAAACATCTGACATTTAAAATATTTTTATAATAAAGATGACTAAACCAGTGTTCTTCGTGAATGGCCATGTGTATTCTGCCAGGTTTTATCGCCAAAGAAATCTCAAGTGTTTGACGCAGCTGTTAAATTTCTAAAGTTTAAAATGTGGAAGCTAAAAAGGAGTTATACAGCAGTTTTCATTTTTCTCTTTTCAGTGTGCTCATCGTCTTTCAGATTTTTTTAAGGTATGATGGAGTATCAGTGGACCATGGTTATTGATTTGAAAAAATTGACACAATCCCTAATTTTAGAACAACAAACAAAAACTTTTAAGCAAAAATTTTAAAAGAGACTCAGTCTAAATCATGTTCAGAGTAGAATTTAGTTTTAAAAGAAATGTAAACCTTTTTGCCTAACAGCAGTAAATAGGACAACCATGTGTTTCTGTAGTCTGAGATATCCTAATTTTATGAAAGAGAACACTAAGTAATATATGATATTGCTTATCAGAAGAAAAAATGTCCTGCAAGTATAATCCTCTCTTTTTAGACATTGGGAGGTTGAAAACATTGCCCTGGTTATAAACGATGCATCTTTAGAGAAGTCAGACTAATTTGTAAGACTCAGGACTGGCTACATAATTTGTGGGGCCCCTTGTTAAAATATTATGAAGAGGGCTTCCCTGGTGGCGCAGTGGTTGAGAGTCCGCCTGCCGATGCAGGGGACACGGGTTCGTGCCCCGGTCTGGGAAGATCCCACATGCCGCGGTGCGGCTAGGCCTGTGAGCCATGGCCGCTGAGCCTGCGCGTCCGGAGCCTGTGCTCCGCAATGGGAGAGGCCACAACAGTGAGAGGCCCGCGTACCGCAAAAAAAAAAAAAAAAAAAAAAAGTAGGGGGATCTCATTGAAAGCTTTCAAATGGGAGATGAAATGATTAGATTTGGGTTTTAAAAATGATATCGTCACTGCTGTGTTTGGAGGGGTAAGCCCTGTTGGCATATACAGTGCCTTTGTGCAACGGGAGAGGCCACAACAGTGAGAGGCCTGTGTACCGCAAAACAAACAAAAAACAAAAAAAACACTTGAACAACACCGTTTGGAGAGCTTCTGGGTAGCTGCACAGATCAAGGTGCTGAGCAGGGGCAGCATGCCAGGAGGAGTAGCCAGGATCTCAGCGCCCGTCCCCCCATACCTTGCCCTGTGTATCTCTTCCTTTTGGGTGTTCCTGAGTTGTGTGCTTTCTAATAAACTGTAGTAGTAAGTAAAGTGTTTTCTGGAATCCTAGCTGTGCTAGCAAATTTTTGAACCTGGGGTTGGGGTGTCATGAGAAACGCTGAATTCACGGAACCCCCAAATTTATAATTTGCCTGGGCACCCCATTTGCAGCTGATGACTGAAGTGCGGGCAGTCTTGTGGGACTGAGCCCTTAATCTCTGGGGTCTGGGCTGACTCCAGCTAGTTTGTGACAGAATTGAACTGAATGGTTGAGTACCCAGTTGGTGTCAGAATTGGTGGGTGTCAGGAGGAAAAAACCCCGCATTTGGTGTCAGAAGTGTTGTAAAAATCAGCTCAGCCCCACGTACCTTAAATAGCCTCTTACTACCTTTTCTTCAAATCATTTCCCACCTTTCACCTTACGCTTGATGACTAAAGGCATTAATGCTCACCTGAGAGCTTATTTTGATGGACATCAAGGCCCCCGGGGTGGGGGTGGGGCTTGTGGCGAGAAAGGGTCTTCCCAGGCTCCCTCCTCGATGCGCAGGTACATGTCCAAGTTCTCAATGTTGACTCTACATTAGGAACACTTGGGAGCTTTTAAAATTCCTGCCACTCAGGTGAAACTCCAGACCAATTCCATCGAATTTCAGGGAGGGGGATCGGTATTCTTGGAAAGCTCCCCGATAGTTCCAACATGTGTACAGCCAAGGTTGAGAGCCACTCCCTCGGCTTCCAGACCATTTAAAGCCATTCTGCCCCCTTGAGCTGCAGCCAATTACCTGGAATTTACTGTATTTGCCTACTGTGTATGAACAATTAGGTTGAGACCATTATGAACGAAATAGATTGGCATCCAAAGCGGGAGGCGAATGACGATTCTATCGGGGTGTTGAAGGAAAGTATGAGACCTTCTATTTATAATTTTGTAAATATTTAAGAAGGAAACCAAGCTGTCTTACCAGTTAAAGTCTGTGTTGCCAGTGGTGCCTTCTGGATCTGCTATCCTGTGCGAGGAGTGTGATCTCCTAAAGAGGAGGCTGGGATTCCTCGCCCAGGTGGGGCCCTCCTCACCTCACCCTTAAGCACATTGTGAAGTGTTGCAATTTGCCAGTGACAGCGTATCATTGAGTTATGTAGTTGTTTTATCAACACAAAGGCTTTAAATTGCAGCATCTCTCAAACGGTGAACTGAGACTTAGCCGTGAGTTGGTTACAGGTGTCCTGAGATTTGATTCTCAGTCCCGGGAGCTGAAGTTGAGCATTCGCCTCGTTGGATGTGTGTCAGGGCATGAGAGAGAATTGTAGCTTCAGGTGGTAGATGCTTTACCATCCTTTATAATGCTCTGGGGAGGGAGCGTGACCATCTTCGCACCACTCAGCATCCCTGGTTCTCTTCCCGGCACCCACCTAAGAGCGGTTGAGTTTACAGGTGTTTGCATCTTTTTTTAACAAAAGACAAGGTTTCCAGATTGGCTGCCCTTTCCCAGTTTTGCTGTGCCTGTCAGTAGTTGCAGCTACTTTGTAGAGCAGGAACAATCCAAGATAAGTGTGAAATGCTCACAAGGAGAGGGAGAGTGACTGCTTTTCAGAAGAAATTTATGCTACAGAGGCATTTGCAAATAACCATTTGGAAAACGTTTGCATTAGGATGTGAAC